ACCATAATGAGCTTTTGTGAATGTCTGTAACCATGAGAGGTTCCACAGCACAGTGTACGTATGGAGAGCAATGTGTTTGCTAGATAATGAGGTAAACTTCAAGACATGACTGGAAAGCAGAGAGAGAGCCAGGGAGTCCATGCGACAAGCATCTCCATCTCACAGGTGGAGTCCTAGTTCTGGTTTTATTGTAAAACTGCATTAAGATGTCTGTGCGTTTGTATTTAATGAATGTCCTTGTGGGAGAGGCATATTTTTTAAAGCGAAAGGACATCTGAAGTGGGGACTTACTATATTTTATTGATGATAAAATGTGGTGTATGCGGAGAATATCTAAGAAATCCAAGCAGGCACTATATTTTGTGGCACTGCAAATGTCACAAATCTGCCAGAGAAGTCAAATGACTCTGACTATGCATAAGCACTAGTAATTAAGATGATTAATGGCCACCTCTGAACTAACGGCAAAGGCGACTGACTTCCGTTTCCCACCAGCACTGTTTCGGATATTAAAGGGTTATGCACTGAAGTTCATCGCTCATGTTCTCTTGAACAGATTCTGACAGCATCCTTTCAGACCACCATTTAGGGGTAAGTGCAACTCAAATCAGATTGTTCTTTTGTGTGCGAGAGTGTACCTGTCCTCCCCCCATCTCCATCTCTCTGTCTTTAGCTTCAAAGTGCCTGATCCTGCTCTTAGGCCAAGATGATGGTTTACACTACAATGTGCAATCAGTGGAATACCCGTTTTCATGGTTTATCTCTCCCAGGTGGGGTCCTGCTCTGAAAAAGGCCAGTGCTCAAATGCTCCATTCGTCTTCATGGACAATATACTCTCATATAAATGGTTTGTATGTAGTATATGAATCCTTATTTTTTTTCCTTCTAAATCTATACTGATCTGATCGCATGAACATTACTGTTAAAATGTTTGGGGTCAGTAAGGTTTTTTTTAATACGTTTATTTGGAAAGGATTTCATTGACTATAAAGATATTTATAATGTTAATAACGAATTCTGTAATTGTAAATAAATGCTGTTTTCCCTGAACTTTCTATTTATCAAAGAATGCTTAAAAAAATCACAGTTTACACAAAACAGTTATTTTAAATTGTAATATTATTTCACAACATTACTGTTTAAATGTATTTTTGATATATTAAAAATGCATCCTTGGTGAGCATAAGAGAATTCTTTAAAAAACATTTAAAAATCTTACCAACCCCAAACTTTTGAACTGTAGTAACATCCAAAAATGGTCAAAAGGTCTAAGACCACTGAAAAAACAAAAAGGTTTAAATTTTTCAAATTCAAAATAATTTCTAATCGATTTTGTTTTGTTAAGTAAAATAAATATCAGCTAAACATTGCTGTAAAGTTAAAAAAAAAAAAAAAACAGACATATATTGTAGATAAAGTATGAAGATTGTGCAATATACAAAATATGCATATATACTCTAAGTATACATATAACTTGCATATACAGATACATTTACATTTCTGTATTTCTTAATATGTGGCTTGGTTTTATTTATTTTTTTGCTATTGCTTTATTGACAACTCTGACCCTTTACAATAAGGCCCTAATTAGTTACCATTAGTTAATGCACTGACTAACTATAATAAAAATACAACTGTTAGTTCATGTTAGCTCATGTTGGCTAACAGTTCGTTCATGTTAGTTAAATAATAAATACATATAGAGCTGTTCATGTTAGCTCGTGTCCATTAAATAATATATACAGATACAACTTTTGATTTAAATAATGTATTAGTAAATGCTGAATTTAACATTAACTAAGATAAATAAATGAAACATTTACAAAAAATTTTCACTGTAAGTTCATGTTAATTAATGTAGTTAACTAATGTTAACAAATGGAACCTAATTGTAAAGTGTTACCATGACAGCAACACTTGGGCTTCATGAATTCCACTGGTTCATGACTTTTGCACACAGAATCAATGTCACAAACTTGCACAAACCTCACACATTCTTATTTTTAAAGACTGTATATGTAACACTCCTTCGTTCCTTTAAATCTCATATTTTCAGTGTGGTCTCAAACATTTAGACCCCACCGTACATGTCAAGCAAGATGGGCCCTTTATGCATGAGTTTATACGACTATAAACGGTTACATAAACGCCTGAAGACATGACGTAACACAATAAAACCTCATAAAATATCATTTTCTCCTGAGATAGACTGCCTACCGCAATAACGAGCCATGCTAAATGATCGCATCATCAGTCAACGTTACACGCGATTCGAAACTTCCCATTTAGAATCTGGAATCCAATCATGTAAAACACAAATGCTTACCATACCTATTTACCGTGGCCATGCGGGTGCCTTTCATATGCTCCTGGGGCCAGCTGAATACGTGACAACCCTGGCATTTATATTTTGTCAGCATAAATGATGAATCTTTTCACATGCTGAGTGAAGATGAATCACGTCTAGTGAGGCAGAGCGCCTGAAGGGACTCACGCTGTCTGTTTTTACTGTGTAAAGATATTAGAAATGTTGGATGGTTGAATTATAACCACTCCGGTCGACTTCATTCGAGGGCTGTGTCTTTAATAGGCTCGTTATCCATAGAAGTACAATAAAAGTGATCATGAGGATTAGAGGATAATAGGTATAAATGCACTACTGTTGTCATAATATCCAAACTTTGCTATAATTAAAAGCCCAGCGCGAACAAACACCATTGTAAATGAATAGAAAATAAACACAATTAAACGGAATCAGCAAATTGCATCGCAAGCAGCTGTGAGACCAGCAGACAGCTGGCAGACACCCCGACTGCTCTGACCATGAAAGAGTAGTCGTATCTGATTCTGTTTGGATAGCCAGGCTTTAAAGACCAATGCTAAGCAGTACCTAGAGAACTGAGATGTCCAGTGCACCACAGCCATATTAAACAGTTATGGAAGCAACTCAAGCAGAACTTTCTACTCTCGATTCCTCAGCCGAGTTCAACTCTTAGACCACTCCTGAGAATTCCCATTTCAGCATTAGCATTCTCGAGGTGTCAGGCCAATGTTTACAGTCTTAGCTAAATTGACGCTGGATTTTCTTGACTTGATGCTCGCTGGCCCTACCGAGCGCACCAGCTCACCCATTACTCTCCCCTTTGACAGTTCTGGGTTACATAAGGTTGTTATCATTAATGTCCCTGTGAGGCGACCCCACTCCCCGATTACTATGGTTCCTCCGAACACATCACCCTTCCCCCAGGCCGGTGACTGTACATTAATCACTCTCTATAAGGGCTCATACTGCAGCCTGACGATATACACCCAAGTGCCAAGTTGTGCTGGGGTAAGCATGTTTTTAAAATGAAGAGTGCACTATTGGATATTGAAGGAATGGTTGCCGCCTGAACGCTGGTGGATATTGTGGGCACAGGCTTGAGAGCCGATCCCAGCAAAATGCTCATATCTAAATCCGCAAGTAAACAAAATGATTGACTCATGCGCAAGCACTTGGACACGCACGCCAACACTCCACCGACTTGCTGTGTAACAAGCACATCTGTCATGTCAATGACTGACAATGTTCCCTCAACACCTCCACAGGCTGGAATCAAAACAACCAGATCTTAGATGTACAGTATACGAGGAACATTTCTAAAAGTATTGAGAATAAAATATAAATGATAAAAACAGATCGTGCAATTACTGCGAAGATTTGATTTTGTGTTCCCGCCTCAGCGCAAAAGTTGCAGTCAGAATGAGAACAACAAATAAATCTCCCTCAACACAACCACGTTCATGTGAATAAAACCATTGATTAGTCTGATAACAGTTATACTCAATCAAAGTTTGAATGCAGTGGGGGAAAAAAAACTGGTAATTGATCGAATCAATGTGCCATTTTCTTGTATGATTTGTTTCTGCAAGTCCAATTTTCCCCCCGACATCCTTTCTCTTACCGTAACAGCAAAACAAATTCCATAGATAAAGCATATCCCCGCATAACATGTGCATACACACACACACACGTACAATGGCAATGAAAAGCGACAGAATAAAAGGACGGCTGAAATCTTGCTGAAAAGAAGTGGGAAAGAATAGAGGAACTGTATTAGACGCAGGACAGAGGGGGAGTGGAAAATAAAAAAGCAAAAGCTTAAAGCTCAAAGCGGCAAAAACACCCAGCGGGAGCCGAACAGAAGATTTAAATGAGACTTCTGTAGCCAGCCGGGCCACTGAACTATCCATTAAATTCAGATTATGGGTTTCTTTCCATTTTTTATTTATTTATGTTTTTAATCATCCAGCCAAGGTTTGTCTGATAGTCAAACTAAAGCTGAATAATATGCATATTGATTGTGATCAGTAGGAGACATGGGCTTTGTGCATTTTATTAATGCAGACATGTGCCAACTGTAGCTCTCAACGATTAGGAACACGTATACATTACAACACCCACCTAGATGAAAGCGTCGTTTTTGGCACAGCATGGATGCGTTTCTTTAAATGCATCACTTGACGTTTTGCCGACCTTGAAAATTGCATTTGAAAAGCATTGTGTTTTTTAAACGTGTTCTAATTGCATTACTGGTCCTGTGTGTACTATCAACATTCAGCACGCTGGCATATCTGCATCTCCGCTCTTCCTTTCTAAACCATTTATTTGTGCTTGTTATTCCGCACTGTGCTTATTTTGAAGCCGGATGAAACTGGTTTTAGATCACTGTTATCACCTTTGAGGAATCATACAACTAATCTAAAATTACTGCATAGGTACTGAAGAATATTCAACAAGATCTCCTGATTATTTGGGAATTATTGTCTATAATTATGCAATAATAAAGCTAGAATAATTTTTTACATATTACATTTAGCCAACACACAGAAAGAGGGAGAGAAAGTGATGCACAAGTATTTACATTCACACCCACAGACCTGTTGCTAAAGCTCCACTGAGATTAACACACACACATTTAAACCTGCGCCGAATCGCGCAATGCACTGCAAGCTCTTACCTTTGTGATTGTTCAGGCCTTGCAGCACACCCCTGGGGACAAATACGGTGTAGAAACTCTGGGAGAAACCTGGTCTGCATGGAGCGTTTCCGTGACTCCCCTGAGAAAGACAGACATTATTGGCTATGAAGACACAGGAGAGAGGAAGTGGTTAGGCAAATTGATTTGTGACCACAGGGTTGTGGTTCTTATTCAAGGTTATCGAAACCGATATAAATACCTTCAGGAGGCAAACTCACAGAGTAGGGATGCAGTCGTTTTACTGTTAGAGATGAATCGTTGTTCTATAGACAAGTTTAAGCCTTTTTTTGTCTAATGTACCCTCCACTTTGCCTTTAGAAAGGCTCAAGCAACCTAATCAACAGTAAACCAGAAATGTGTTTCTTTAAACTGGATACAATTTAGCTTTTATTATTTATATTATTAAAACTTCACTTTTAATAAATTGGATCATAATCACTTTTAGTCAGTCAATAAAAGTAATTGAAAATAAAATAAAATAAAATAAAAATGGGAATAATACAATAAACGGAAGAAAACATTCTGTTATGAATATCATCCATGCAAATGTACAAAACTAGCACAATTTTTTTGGTTTTGGTTTAAGCCAAAAATGTGTTCCTTTTTAATGGATATAATTTATCTTTAATAGTAATACTATTAATAAGTCAGTTTTCATAAATTATATAATAATCACTATAGTCGGTCAATATCAGTAATTAATATCAGTAAAATCAATAAAATCTAATTAAATAAATTTAAATAAAATAAAATATGAAAAAAAAACATATTCTGTTATCAATATAATCCATGCAAATGTACAAAACTAGCATATTACATTTTTTGGTTTTCTTTAATTCCTTAAAAAATATATAAAGACAACTTTGGATTAATCATTGAGATTAATTGTTTTAATTATTATTGAATAATTAAAACCCCCTGTTACCTGCTTAAATACCCTCTGGAGTGTGCACATACCCCTCGTTGCATATTACTGCTATAGTCCTGTACAGTGTTTGAATATTCAATGCCTCCATGAAAATGAACACATTCATAATCAAAAACGGCAAATCTCTTAATTCGCATTCAGAGGTCTGCATTCCCTAATGGTGGTTTTAAAGAAATTTACACGAGTGAAAACATCAAGCGCTTCTCTAAATTTTAACAAGAGCTAAACGAGCCTGTTTGATGATTAAAACAAACCGAGGGAGAAAATGGGGATGCGATGGAAGACAGGAAGTGCAGAGTAAAGAAGGTTGTGCTGGAGTTCTGCCATGTAAATCAGTAGAGAAACTGTGCCCATTACAGTGGCATCTATTTTAGGATAGTGACCTAGGTCCTAGTGAGTGTGTGAGTGAGAGAGAGAGAGAGAGAGAGAGAGAAGAGAGAGAGAGTGTATGTGTATGCATCAATGGGTAGTGCTCACCACTGAGATTTAGCATAATTAGAAGGTGGGTCATATTCAGGTTATCCCGGTCTCAGTATGGTGGGCTTTTCTAAAACGATTCAGGGTTCAAGCTCAGGCCTCGGCTGTGTCTAAACCGAACGAGAAGTCGCCTTTAGGGGTCTCTCTCTCTCTCTCCCTATATTTTTCCATTCTGAAACAGACAACTATGAACCTGAAAAATCAAGACAACAAAGAGCCGACGCACTAAGCTCTTTCATATATCCACGGAGGAACAGTCTGTGTCAAAGCTTCCCTACAGATCACATTAGTCAACGGGCTGTGAGATGGGTACTTTCTAAAGCAGCGCTGCCTCTGCCCACCATGTGAATACAGCTCTATAGCTACATTTCACCCCCAGCTGGATACAGATTTTATTCTGAATGAGTCATCAAAGAGAATGTCAATATCTGCCACATTCAACAGCAGTGTTATATCCACAACTTATATTTACTCAACACCCAACATCTTCTAGATTTCGTTTAATGTTATACGTGCATTTTTCTTCTTCCACTAAATTAATGTTTCCTATTTCCTAACCATAAGTCATCACTAACCATAAGTCATCACTAATCAAGTTCTCTAGTATCCTACAAGTTAAACCATTCCTGATGTTCCTATATTGAATGAATCTTCTATAATGAATCTTCAATAACATGAATATTAATATGAATACAAATCATTTGCATATTCGCATATTCCTCCAGTAAGGACAGAGCACCACTACTACTCGCAGACACACCACAGGCATCGCCGCATCCTCTGCAATGTGTGCTAAAAGTGCAGCTGCAAGCCACTGCAGCTACCTGATAGACGACCAGTGTTCAGCACAAACTGATTTACTTGTTTGAATGTTATTTAAAATAAAAAAAAATCGACTGTTACAGAAGTGCTACGAAAGCAATTCTGGATTTCCAAACAGACAAAGTAAACGCTCGATGCACCACTATTCTTCTAGTAATTGAGGACATAAATCGCACAAATACAAGCACACTGTTCCATACGGTCAGTCTACGGGTGTTTAAATTCAAGTACTATTACTTACATAATGTTTGTAGATAAAACATTTAGTCTTACCAAAGAGGTGCCCACAACTAAGGCACACGCCACAAGAATCGCGCAGCCGGTTTTCATTTTGGCCACAAGCAGAGGAGGCAGATGTTTGTTATTCACAAACGTGGAGATAATTCCTGCGAGACGTGCTGTCGGTTGCAGCGTTCCGCTGAGCGATGCGAGAGAATATTGTCCCGGTCGGTCTCGCACCCTACTGCAGGTGGACAGGCGCTGTTCAGCTCAGCACCACGGCTCCGCTGGCGGCGTCACAACCGCTACAACTCCTCCTACCGCAGTGTACTACTTAAAGACACACACGGAGACGCACTACAGCACGCCTGACAGTTAAACAGGCACGTATTGTGTACATTCTGCTTATCTGCTTTAGATTAAAATAGCCTGCCGCTGCAGTCAGGTGGCGAATTTTTGAGGAGGGGTTTTATAGGGGGGTCTGACCACTTTATTTAAGGTTTGGGGGTCTTAAAGACGTGTAGCTATTCTTTGTTGCGTATAATTTAGATATTTCAGCAGCAAAAGTTAGGTTACAAGCTTTCGCTAACTATTAGTTAGTTAGTTAGTTCGCCTGAGGAGTAACCATAGCAACAGTTCGCTGCTCGAGCGCTTTGCGTGGGGAAAACTCGGACAATTCATCTAGAAACAATAAATGAATTTAAAAAACACTGTAATTATTTATCACTTTATTATAGATATAAACATCGCAATTATACCACAAAATGTTGGTGATTTGTTAAATTGGTTTTTAAAATCGTTTAAATACTACAAAAAAATTCTAAAGAGTATTTGTTAAAAGTGATCAAACGTTATTGAATTGTGGAATCTGGCTTATGCCATAGTATGATAATTAATAAATACATCCACCCTTACGATGTCAGGCAATCAAAACATCTTCAGAATGTTTGGGCAATCAATTATTAAACTAACATGTGACACTAGCAACAACTTTTCTTGTTTGGAAATTTACCATGGTAACAATTACTAGAAAAAAAATATGATAATTAGCTATGTTGGGTGTAATGCATTAAGAAGTAATAATTGCTGTAATTTAATTACTTTTTCCTTGAAAAAGTAAAGTACGGGATTACTCTCAATTTTTCAGTAATTTAATTAGTTACCTCTGATGTAACTGCATACTGTATAGAACTATTCTGTACTAAACAATTGTGAATTTAACATCAAAATTTGACATCTAATGTTAAAATGTATGTTTTTAATGTTACTTTGTCCCTTTAAATAATGTATGCAATTTTATATTATTTATTTAAAAGAATTAAAAGAGCAGTTTCAGTTCAACTGGTTGCGGTTGATATCATATTTAGAAAGTATTAGCAATAAGTAATGTAATACTTTTTAGAGAGAGTAATGAGTACAATAATCTGATTACACTGTCAAAGATGTAATTAGTAGCAGGTAATCATGACTTTTTTAGAGTAACTTACCCAACACTGATAATTAGCCACCGTTATGAAAAAAATAGATTAAACAAAATGAAAGAAAGATTCTAAAAGCTACTCACACAGTTAAGAGGATCTGCCATTTGCGATATAATTACAGTGGAGTTGCAGCAATAATTGTATTTTTTTTGTTGTTTTTTTTGTGGTAACTAAGATTAGAGGAGACCAGGGAGTGTTGAAACCCCATCAGTTGAAGAGTGAAATCATACATTACCAACATTTTACTGGGATGACACTCTATGTAAAAAAATACAAAGGATTTACAGGGCAAACAACAAATGAATATTAAATAAAATTTTGAGACACAAAGTAGCTACTGCAAAAAAGTACTGAGTTACAGACGTTTAAACACTCTCCAGTCTTCCGTGCCATGCAAAATTCTTGTAATGGTGCTTCTGACCAGAAGTGTAAACTCTTAACTGGCTCTTTCCATGAATAAGATAGGCTGTCCGTAGGCAAAAACGTCTGTCTTACATGCTTCATATAACCGACTGCATGCTATAGACTGCAACGCAGGAAGCTATTTCACACTTCACTTGTTTTTCTCTCTTTTGATCATAGCTGAGTCTGCCACGTTACCCACTGTGATCCGTTGTAAAAGACCTGTATCCCATCTGACGTAACTGTTTTAAACAGTGAAACAAATATAGCCAACCTGGTCTCATAAAAATACGTACCTCTGTGCACTTTTTGTGCAGCACAGTTTTTACGTAGGCCTACCTTTACTGCACGTTTCGCCGCAGTTTCAAGAGAAATGTCCCGAGTGGCGCTAAAACACTGGTTCAATTCGTGAACCCTGGCACGTTTTTATTACGTTGAAATAGGTACGTATTGCTGTGTTTTTATTATGTTGCTTCTGGTACGTATTGCGGTGGTTCAGAATTCAAATATCCGGGGACTGACGCTAAAAGTTAATGCTCTATCGCAGTGGTCACCAACCTTTTTAGGCCCAAGATCCCTGACCTCGGCCTTTATGAAAGACAAGATCTACCTATTGAAGAATTGATCGAAAAAGACATCCCAGATTGTACTTCAAATTTGAGGCCTTTTACTTGGTATTTTAATTAGTGATGCGCCGATCATAGCTGGTTCAGAATTCAGATTTTCTTTTCTTTCTCTCTTTTTTAACTAGCAAATTGGATTCTGATACTGATACTGATTTTTAAGCAAATTTATTTATTGAGTCGATCGCGATCGACGGGTTGGCGACCACTGCTCTATCCTGTTGGAAATATGCCCTGCCTACACCAAATCCAACCCTAAACCTACCCGATAGAGTTAACAATCGTAAAACTTATATAAAAACGCATTTGTTGATGCAACCGTGCCACTTGAATTTCCTTATATGCAGATTTGAACTGCTTTATCGAACCGTGGTTACACGGGATTCGAACCGGAGCTCCTCACCTCTCACGTACGTCTCCGTACTCCGTGAGCTACCGAACAAACCTACCACCTATGAAAACCAAAAAAAAAAAAAAAGCATCAGTTTTCAAATCTTCCAGCATATTAATATTGTTTTGAAGTCATAACATGATATTCTTCAAGTAATTGTGCGAAAATTACGCTTTATTAATCAAAACTCTGTAAATTTGTGTGAAAAGGAATAAAAGGCGTCGGCGTTTTACTGCCTCTAGTGTTCATTTCTTTTGGAAACTGCAGTGATATGTACTTATTGGTACGTATTTCGCATCTCGCTAAAAAGTGCCCCCAGGTACGTTTATGCCATGAGACCAGGTAGAATACTTCGGTCAGATCGCCAAACACCTCTAATAT